TCAAGTTGACAGTGGCGGTCAGCTTATTGTGGAGGCACAAGATGAGGAGTTAAAGATTTCTCTACGATAAACGAGTTATAAAAATATTTAATGCTAAAGTTAAGTAGTTTTTCATAACAGTGCTACTAACCACGTTTTCGCGCTGCATGTTGAACTGAGACCTGTTTCATCCTTAAATTATTGATAGAACAGTTGACAGAAATTAATCATATCTGAAGATGCTGCTGTTTAGAGACCTGAACCTGGTCTGGATGCCGCATAAATACCGGCAGCCATACCCTCTGCCACTTGCAGATGAATTTGTTTTCAGAGATATTCCGAGCGAATTTACACTGGTTTCTTTGCTTTTACAGCGTGCTTATATTATGTTTTTGAGACAATAGCTAGTACATCGTATTTATCTATTGACTTGATTTAGAAGTTATTTTCGAGTAACGGCTTAATCATGTTGTTGATGCACTCGCAGTCGCACAATCCGCATGAACGACTTAGTGAAATGGGGCGGAAACATTTTAATGCCGATTGAGGTGTTACGGCGCAATTCAGCAATTCTTATGTTATAAATGGTTAGAAACTTTTTATCCCGTTTCAGTCTAGTACTTCCTACTTGAACTTTGTTCTCGATATTACGACAACGAATATAATTGCTTCGAATTCAACTTTTGAATTTCATGATGTCTAGATTTCGCCGAGTGAGACTTACAATTATAGCCTGCGATCTTGTTTTCCCTCATGTGCTTATTTGAGGGATGGAGGACGTCCTTTTTTCCTTCTCTTCTCAAAAAATAAAAAATAAAAACGCCTGATCGAAGGTTATTTGAGAGTGACCAAGTTTTGACTCTGAGTGCACTAAGTTGTGGAATATCTCAGTTGGCTTCAGTTGAGCTAGTTCTTCTCCTTTCTCTTTACAGTGATTTCCCGTCAATGTTATGAGTGCTTAAGTTTGCAGTCTTTTAAAGACTGCGACGCCCACCGAATTTCGGGGTATTGTTCGTCCCTAACGTGTAGCAAATTGAAAGTTTACACAGCATCTGGCCACAGGGCGTACGCTAAAGGATGCGCTAAGACTTCTGAGACTTGCTCACCATCAGCCATTCCACAATGCAACAAACCCGGATTCAAGTGTGAAGTGAATTGTTGCTCTTCCGACAACTGCAATGGAGCCTCAGGTCCTGTGGTGAATGGAATTCTTCTTATTGCCATCGTCACTGCTACCTTCATGATCTTATTCGGATTTAAGTGAGTGGAACGCATCATGGGCCATCCTGCCGACGATCAGAACTGATCATAATATACATCAAATAGTATTTCATAAATTTTCTCCGAGCGTAGGCGTCTATTAATAGTTAAAACTGTAGTTCACAATTGTTTACAATTGACAGATCTACATATTAATAACCTGTACAATCTAAACATTGAAAGCACTCATTAAATTTCAAAACAAATTATATAATATCGTTTCAATTTTTTTCCTCCCTTAAACAAAGTGATCGAATTTTTTCTTTCTCTTAACGGACACCTCTTTATACGACAGACCATGTGACCATGTTGTTCCTGGAAAATTAATCTAGCCGCAGAATTTTGCCCCCATTTTAGCTTGTTAGACTTATTACGCTCCTTTGAAAGGCAAGCAAGTCATGCTAATAACTAAACGACGGTACGACTAGAAACAAATGGGTATCCTGCGTAGCAGGCATCGAAAGGGGGTAGGGGATAGGGAGGAAGGGAAAAAGGGAGGGGAACAAACAACAAACAAACAAACAAAAAAGACTGAAAGAAAAGGGAAAGGAAAAACGAGCCGTTTACGAGGAACGTTCGCTGGCAAGCGCCCTTTTAGCTGATTGAGTTCTATTAAAACGAATTCAACGATATATTTCTAATCAGGAAAATATCAGGACTTTTGACGGTAATGAACCGAAGCTATAACTAAACGCATTTCATCGCCATACATATGCATACAGAATCGGCCCCTGGTGTCCAACAAAGCCAATACAACTTGTCTGTCTTGTCTGCTAATGGTCCAAATCGCTTTCATTTTGTCATAAAAGTATTGTTCCTGCCTTCGAAATTTAACGCTTCAAAGACTTTCTTTCTTATCAAATATGTGAATTCATTGATAGAGTTGAATCTAACCACCTACGTCCTCTAAAGTACTTTTCCTACTGCGAAATGTAACTGCACGTCGTCTCTATGCAAAATTTAATTGTGTTAAAACTTTACTATGAAGGAACTGAATACAGAAATATCAGTTCTTCTCCCGAGCGAAAGTGACGCTAGTAATTTGAAATTCAAGTCGAACTTTGGGTTTTTCGTTGAGTTATATTCCTGGAATATCGAGGGAGAGTACTTGCTGTGCTAAAAAGCCATATACACTCTTCTAAGTTAGTTAATTTCCTTGATAAAATCAGTGGACATGCGCAAGTTGAGGGTCTTTGTCAGGATATGATGTGAATATCAAAATAGAAAGAATGTAACACGTACTTAATTTATACGATTCTTTAATTTCCTACACTGTTCCACCATTGAAAAATATGGGTTTGAGTTAGCACAGACATTCATTTGGTCGATTAACGGCACACTACAGTCATTGAGCGGTACACTAAGTGGTGCAGAAATTAAAGGAGAGGTAGAACATGTAGAAGGGTTTGAAATACTACTGACACCTTGAGGAACTTACAAATTGAAACTGGTTTTATCCAGTTCCGTTCCTCGAATATTTGAACTTAACTTTCGTTTCCTGTGGAGAACTATACTGTCCTGAAACCATGGACATACAATCTTTTTTCACTTACAGATACATCATCTGCGTCCGCGTATTGGGGTATATAAATGCGGGCAGTTTCTCTGATTGTAGCCCCCTTTGTTTAGTTTTTTTACACCTAGGTAATGAAATTGCGTCGATGTCTACATGTTGAGACAAGTTCGTCGCGCTTGTTCAGTGTTGCCATGTGAGGCCTACAGATTAAAATTAAACTTCTCTGTGGTACACAGATTGCAACGTTTTGTAAGGTTGGTGTAAGGTTTTGCTTTGGCGAGTACTCTCCACGTAATATCAAATTCTTGGTTTGCCACCTTTAGCTGCCACAGGTGCTTACTCAGCTCAGTCTCATTCCTTCTCTTTTCTTTTACTCAGCTCAGTCTCAATCTATGTATGCATTGTCATGTTCCTTTGCTGATGGGTATTTACAACAGCTATTAAGGCTGGAGTCTCTTGTCGAGGAGACTGCACGTCCATCGTCAGTTTTTTAACGGAGTCCACTAAGGACTTGATAAGAACGGCATTAGAATCCATATTGTCCGCCGGTGCAGCCGCTGCGGTCTCGGTGTGTGCTGAGTCGTCCTCGATCAAGTCGTGGCCAGGGCACTGCCCGGAGGGCCAAAGCCGATCTCTGATTTTAAAACTTTACGACAGGGACATTTACTAGTCTTACTTGGTTTAACCATAATAAGGGAAAAGACTAACGAAGAGCAAAGGGCAATCAAAAAGCAGCTCCAGTAATGTGCGTCACGAACAAACATCCAACGCAAAGTGAAATATGACAAACGACAATCTGATACTAGTAGAGGTTCTATTGTTTGTGCAGTTAATCCCTTTGAGCACGTGCATGTCCAAATGGGGTAAATTTTGAACTATTAAAGAACTTTTAACTGGAGTTAAGATTTTTTTCTTAGTCTTTTGGTAGGATACATAATATATATATATATATGTCTTTTAAATTACCCATTCGCCCCAACCGTCGAAAGTACCCAAACTGATCCAATCGATACATTCAATGATCCAGAACGCTAAAAAAGTAAAATTACGGGTACGTATACGTTTTGTTTTTAGTGATCAATTAACGGTATATTAGCACGTAGTCAATATAGTTGTGATAATTATTATACGATTATATTTATGCTATTTTACATTGTATGCACTTTTAGTCTTAAGTTTTGATCATGTCAAAAGTAGTCTTTCTTAATACCATTCCATTCCAACAGAATTGGCATTCATTTGGTTTATAAGTGATAACTTTTGCACCGAATTGGTTAAAAAATGTGAAAAAGTTATTGGAAGGACAACTTGGACAGCAATGGCAAAGACGAAGAGAAGCCGGATCTTGGTGTTAAAAAAATAATGATCAGGAACAGCAACATACAATAAAACTTTAAATCAAAGGCAAGGCAGTTGGATGGGTAATTTTGCCCAATATATTTCGGGTAGGCAAACAGACTAACCTTCACCAGGGACCAGAAAAGCTCAGGGAAATATTTGCGAGTGATAATTATAATTATCTCTAGATCCGCGTTTGTAACGATCAATGTGGAAGTTTGAGCCTCATATAAGTATTGAATCACAAAATATTAATCGAACCACACAGGCCAATATAAAATCTCCCAGTTTCCTGACAGACAGGAAGAACTAACTTCTTTTGAATATTTCAGTTAGGACATGGAGTTTGACATGATCAACGGGGACAGAAATGAGAGAGAGGTTTCAAAAGCATGACAATGATTTTTCGCGTGCGTCTCTGTTTGGTTCAATGCACGAGTTGGTGTATATATAATGGCGATAATACCTGTAGCTTGTTGAGCACCACATTTTATTAAGTGACTCAGATTTATCGAAAAGTGGCGAAACTCAATATCTATGGCATAATAGTGAAATATGACCGAGGTAATGAAACCTTTCACGGTTTTTCTAATTATCTAAATGTTTTTCTCTCTCTCTCCGGATGAACCAGTTATGAGTTGTTAACGTCAGAGGGGCGTGGCGTTACAACTGTTCAGGCAGTGGGTGTTGACCGGCGTCGTTTTGACCAGTAACGTCCAAGATCTATTTTGACAGGAATTGTCTTGATTATCATAATTGACAATCACTTCTTCAAAGGTTACTTCAGTCAGCATTTGAGGTGAGCCCAGTATTCTAGGTTTGCCATTTTCACATTATCAAAGAGCAAGCAAGTTTACTCCTATATCTGCATCGATCGCGTCAACGAAAGAGGAACCAGAGATCCAACATGTCGACTTTGCAGCAAGTAGCTCTTTTAATGTTCCTGATCTTCTTACCAATGGGTAGGGGTGTATTTTGTAACTTGCTCCTCTTTAATATTTCCTCAGTACATTGCATAAGTTATATATCCCCCAGCAATTTCGTTCTCGTGCTACTTACAGTGGCGGACCTCGTGAAACTAAAACCAGAATTTGTAAATTTTCTCTGCTCTTTCATATTACGTCAGCTTTTGTAAGTATTCTTTTCGGTTGAGGACTCTCTGCATCCAATTCTATCAACGCGATTCAGTTGAGTCGCATGACGCAACCGCAAAAAAAGATAATGGTATCCTCGTTGACTCAGCAATTCTTGGATTGTTTTACTTTTTGTTTTGTTTTTGGTTTAATTAAAAAGGTTTGCCAGGTTTGCAAAGGTTTTTCTCGTGAATTATCTTAAGAACTTGGTGAAGAGCTCAACACAGCAATTCTTAAATTGATTTCAGTTAGTTAGAGCTAGAACTATGGCTCCAAACATTGTAGCAGAATTGTTGGCCTTATTGACCTAACTCTAGATCTTCTTTAATTGAATTTCGCTGCAGTGATTTCCCGAGAATGCTATGAGTGTCGCAGTTCGTTCTCTTTCCAAGCTTGTGACGCCAGTCGAAGGAGAGTAAGGTGTTTGAGCTCCCAGCATTGCATCACAGCAAGCGCCAAAAGAACATCTGGCATCAAAGATGAGGGATACGTTAAAGGCTGCGCTGCGACCTGCTCAGCATCAGACATTCCAATATGCAACAATCCTAACTACAAATGTGAAGTTAAATGTTGTTCTTCTGACTACTGCAATGGAGGGGGAGCCGGAGGAAGAGCCCCAGGGGGAGCCTCGGGGGGAGTCTCGAGTCCCATGGTCAACAGGATTCTTCTAATTGCCACCTTCACTGCCAGCGTTATGTATTTGTTCAGCTGTTAACAAAGAGGCTGCACTACGGGCGAAAAATCCGTCTGGATATCATGATCAGAACTAATGATACAAAAGTATTTCATTGACTTTTTCTGAGCGTAGCTTAAGTTAATTCAGTGTACGTCTAAGGCTTTAAAATCTTCAGGCACTCAGCGTAGTTAGTAGAGAAAACTGGTTATGTAAGGCGGCTGACATTAAAGATAAAAACAACATGCAGCACTGCAGTTTATGTTGGATACTCCCTTACGGTACACAATCCTATTCTTTTTTCTGATCCCAAATCATGACTGAATAAATTAACACGACGATTTGATGCAGAGTCTTTCTCGAGTAAGTCAAAATCTACTAATTTAAAAAGGCACTGTTAGCAAGGTGTACATACTAGCCAAATGCTGCAAATTCGACATGTTAAACCACGTTTTTTCTTAACTCTAGTTCCGCGTTCGTTAACAATAGAATTTTAGAGATATTTGAGCTTCGAATAAATATTGAATCACAAAAACTCGAACCACACAGGTAGGATCTCTTTCGATTTCCTGACAGACAGGAAGAATAAACCTCTTTAGAATATTTCAGTGAGAACAGGGAGTTTGAGATGGACAACGGGGAGAGAATTGAGAACGTGAAACTGTGGCAGTGGGTGCCAGTGACTGGCGTCGCTTTGATCCGTAACATCCAAGATCAATTTTTAAAAATGGAATTGTCTTGGTTAATAAAATTGACAATCACTTATTTAAAGGTTAATTCAGTCAGCATTTAAGGTGTGTTGAATATTCTAGGAGTACCATTTGGTTAATGATTCAAAGAGCAACCAAGCACACTCCTATATCTGCATCGATTGAGTTCATTAACGAACAAGGAACCAGAGATCCAACATGTCGAATTTCTCAGCGCTTAGCTGTTTTCGTGTTCCTGATCTTCTTGTCAATGGGTAGGGGTGTATTTTGTAACTTGCTCCTCTTTATTATTTCCTCAGTTCCTTGCATTAAGTTTTAATCATCCACCGGCAGTTTCGCTTTCATACTACTTACAGTGGCGAACCTCGATCGTGAAACTAAAACCAGAATTTGATGAATTTTCCTATCTAAAGCAGATAGTCTTTTCTCTGATTTTAATTTACGGCAGCTTGCGTTGAGTATTCTTTTCGGTTGAAAACTCCCTGCAATCATATCTATCGACGTCATTTGGTTTTCTACTTTCTACCACTTTTAATGCATGACGCAACCGCAAACAAAAAAAAACTTCATGGTAAAATACTTGACCATGTTGACTCAGCAATTCTTAGATTGCTTTAGTTTTTTGTTTGATTAAACAAAGTTTGCCAAAACGCAAAGGTTATTCTTATGAATTATCTAATTATATAAGAACTTATAGTGAAGAGCGCGACTCCAGCAATTCTTAAATTGATTTCAGGGAATTAGAGTTAGAGCTCCAAACACTGTAGCAGAACTGTTGGCCTTATTGACCTAACTCTTCTTTAATTAAATTTCGCGGAAGTGATTTCCGAGAATGCTATGAGTGTCTCAGTACGCAATCTTTACAAGAATATGACGCCAAACAAAGGCGGTAACATGTTTGTAACAATGCACGGGGCTATGTTTGAAATTTTGTTCGCAAATTTGACTGTTAAAGATTTTGGATGAAAAGGTAATATCCCTTTGCAACAGATGGTGTTTGAGAAGCTTTGAGAGGTGAATTATTATTTATACGGTTCTTTATATCCCACATCGTTCCACCATTGAAAAATATGGGTTTGAGTTAGCACAAACATTAGTCGACTAACGACTAGTCTTTGCAACTCAGCATCTCTTGCAATGCGAAATATAGGTAAGGTAAGGAAATACTTAGATCAAACGAACACTGAGCGCCTTATACACACATTCATCTCATCGGACTAGACTATTGCAATAGCTTATTATACGGTTACCAGAAGGAGATAAAATGAAACAAACCACAGAGACTACAGACCTCTGCAGTGAGGCAAGTCACAACAACACAAAGACCAGAAGAAATATCACTGACTCCTGTCCTACAGTCTACATTGACTACCAGACTGGAGCAGTGGATAATTTTCAAACGTCTTCTTTTCACTTATAAAGTTGTTACCAGTAGTCTCATACCACAATATCTATCTAGTCTGAGTTAACAAATTACTTAGATCGGCCTCAGTCTAAAAGGCCCTCTCAGTCCCTTAGTACATACGGAGGTTGCGGAATCAACTACCAGATCTTTTGCCTCATTTGAATCTGTTTAAAAAACGTTCCTGTTCAAACAGATATGTTTGAAATGTGTGAAAGGTCGCACGTAAGCGCAAAAGTAGAACCTCGCTCAACTTTACGTTTAATCTCAATACTTTATATCTTGCCTCTTCTTTATTTACGTGATTAAAATTTGCGTGCGTTAACGTGCGTAGCCAAAAACATATCAGTGGAAATCAACCTTAAGTGAGGTGTAAAAGTTTAAAAAATCTACACAGTGTTATAGGTCTTATATCTAACTGAACTCATTAAAAAATATCAAAAGTTATTCATTCTTCAGTTCTCGATATTTTTGTGATACTTTTTTGAAACTTGTTGTGAAGCCACCAAGTCGTGTTGCACGGCAACTAAGCTTGCCATGCTACACGGCAGTGGCTCGGTCGTGCTGCTGCAGTACTAAAGTACTGGGGAACAATTGAGTTCTGCAGGACAGTAGCACAACGTTTGGTACGGCGATAAGGTTATTTGCACATTCTCAGTCAAACATGGACTGCATAGTTTTCCTCACAACATGCATGTAAGGAATCGAAGCTGTTTTATTAGCTTTAATTGGTTAACTATCTCATATCAGTTTAGCCTGTTGTTGTTGTTGTTTTTTCGTCACTTGAAAATTACTTTGGACTCAGAACAACCAATGTTAGAGTAAAAACAGATCATCCGTCAGTCTGAGGAGGAATAAAACGTTTTGAACATTTCCAAAGAGGTTTGTATTTTTCTGAGAATTGTGCATTCGATTTGTGAATTGATTTTGTGTCCAGTTCTTCGCCTTCTTTCGCCGGACTGAATTAAAACCTGCTTGTATTCTGTTATTATTAGTTACGGTTAGTTTTTTTACATACCCAGATTTATTTAGCTTTGCAGAACCAGCGTTATCCCTGTCTTATTTCAAAGAACCGTAATGCTAACGCTTGCGAGTGAACAAACTTAACCGTTTAAAACTTCCTCAGAACTTTAGAAGGCAAGCAAGCTTACTCGAGAAGAAAAGACTACCTCGATCATTTTTTTGTTGCTCAAGTAATAATAGTCAGAGTTTTTTTCCTTTAGTTTTTTCAGTTTTAATTACATAGTTTTGTTATCTTTCTGCACGCAAATTTTCCTTTCACTCGCTGTGAACTAGTGGAGAACGACAACTGCTGGCAGTGACTCCAAAACAATCGACTCTTTGCCCGTAAACAATTGCTGGAGCTGGATTTAACTGAAGCGTGCAAAACAAATCCTTATGCGCAGTTTTCTGTATTTTCTAATGATTCAGTTTGCTGAGTTTAATTTGCTTGAATGAAGACCGTAACCTCGCATGGACCAGTTATTACTAAAAAAAGTAGCTAATCTAACTAAGTAGTCGGAATCATGGCTTGGCTGCGAAGCTTGCAACTGATCTTTTGTTTTTAAGATCTTTAGGTAGGTTGTTTCCGTACAGAAAGTTCACTTCTTCTTTGTCAGCAGGCCGATGAGAGCCTTAAGCCGTATGTTTTTTTCATGAAAATTTGTAGTTTTGCAACCTTATTGAAGCTTCTTTTAGTTCACTTAAGCTGAATTTTATGCATGATGGAATTGTTCTTTGTTTATCGCTTCTCATTGCCAGCTTAAAGTGGCGTCTGTGGTCCTTAAAGTGACCTCAATCGGCAATTAAATCTTGTACATAATTGGAAAGAAGTTTTTGCAATAATGTAACTTTAACTTTGTTTGAAGAAAATCTCAGAGCAAAATTAATCTGCGCGAAACGATCAAGTTTAATGTAACTATGATTACTTTGAAAACGATCTTGGGAAAGATTTACTAGATAAACTCTTTTTCTTCCCACATATCAAAGCCCAAAAATGCTATATTGAAGATTTTGTTTATATTTTATAGTGTTCTGCGAAGATAGAAGTGTCCGATCGAGCGTGGGTTTTAAAATATCAGCTCGAGTGCGACAAAGTTCAGTGACTTCAAACACATTGTGGGCAAACTTGAATTTCTTTGGGCAGATTATTATACAAAGATATTTTGTTTTTGTGTCCACGGTGGAGCTCCGGACCTTATATATCCAGGAACTTCCTTATATGAACACATTTTGTGAATTCATCTTGAAAAAGATCGGACTTACGCACGCACATTTCCAGTACAACTCAAGGAAATTAGTAAATGTCGTTAAAGTCCGTTTTACTTTGATGTATTCTTCGAGAAAATTAAATAATAAGAAGGTTATAACCACAGCTTGCAACTTTTGAAGACAAACTGCCTGTTCTTTTTATGGCCGCACAAACCACTTCTCAAGTCGACTCGAAAACCTCTGTTTTGAATTTCCCGCTTTTTTTCACCTGACCAACACTGACGTCACAAGCTGTTTTTTCCGACGATTTTTCCGACCGCTCTACTAAGATAAGGGCCAAAAAATAGCAATTTTTAATTGCGAATATCTCGGAGATACTTGCTTCAATTGAGCTGAAACTTCATAGTATGTTTAATTGGTTCATATTAAACACATCTCACTAAAATTGATCATGAACTAAAATAAAAAAGGTCGAAATTTTGGTTCATTTGACCTTTAAACACAGCTGTCTAAGATTAAAATGAAGGAAGATACTGGAAAAAACAAGAACAAGTCATAAAACCCCGCATGTAAAGAGGACCCATGCCTTAATTCACCTGCGGGGTGTGATGAGATATTTCAAAAGCCACTTTGGCTCTCTTCTCTGACTTTAAGTTTTGGAGTCTCAGGAGGGGTGGGGTGGGGGGGGTGTCTCATTTTTTGCCCTTCATCACCAAAAA